TTGAGAAAAAGAATTTTAAAGAATTTTCCTATATATTTCTATGTTAAACTTTGGTTGGCTATTGTGGCCCCGCCCTACAACCTGGGGTCATGATTTGAATAATTTTGAATTTACACTACAGCAGGATGCTTCCATATAAATATGATCAATTATGGATTTGTTTTTCTTGAGAAGAAGAATTTTAAAGAATTATTCCTATATATTTTTCTATGTAAAACTTTGGTCGGCCCCGCCTTACCCCCGGGGGTCATGATTTGAACAAATTCGTATGTACATTACCTGAGGATCCTTCAATATAAGAATCATCTTTCCTGGCACTGTGCTTCTTGAGAAGAAGATTTTTAAAACATGCTACCAAATTCTTTTAATCCCCAATTATCTCCCCTTGAATGAAGGCGTGGCCCTTCATTTGAACAAACTTGAATTCCCTTCACCCAAGGATGCTTTGTGGCAAATTTGGTTGAAATTGGCCCAGCGGTTCTTGAGAAGAAGTCGAAAATGTAAAAAGTTTACAGACAAACAGACAGAAGGACTTAGACAAAATGTGATCAGAAAAGCTCACTTGAGCCTTCGGCTCAGGTGAGCTAAAAATGATATTCATATATATTTTTTTAGTAAACATACTTTTATTAATCCATATCAATTGAAATTTTTTGCCTAAAAATACGAAAATAGACATAGAAAAAGGTTAAATACATACATTTTCATATCATTGGAAACGTAATCAAAAAGAATTTCAACAGTTGTTACCAGATTTCAATATCCATGCTTTAGGTTGCAATGCTTTTTATTCACAAAGTCAATATTGCAGCTAAATCGAAACATTAAAAACTGAACGATCAACCAATCGAAGTCTGCTATACATCGAACCTGTATTATTTATTTGATAGTTTTAATTTCAATATGCAGTTTCTTCTAGGGACTCGACTGTTTCATAAGTGTCCACAAAGAAAAAAAAATGAGCAATACTTGGGGTATATATTTAATTATTCTCTTCTTCACCATGGCACAAGCTACAATTTTTCCCGCATATACACTGCAGACCTGGACTTGAATAAGAAAAAGTTAAATATGGAACTCGTAAGAGAGAACGAAGCGCATTCGAAGACTAGGTGCACTGCTATGTGTCAAAAGGAGTGTAACGTTTTCGGATACAATCCTGTCATAAAGAAGTGCCGGACCCACAAGACAATATTAACGTCTAATACGTCTGAGGAGGCCAGTTGGAGATATTTTGTCAATGATTGTATGCCTATTATTATTATTATTATTTATTGCAGGTCTAAGAGGTCTATAAGATTTCTAAATTTATCGGCATGTTAAAAGTTTCCCTTCTTAATTTCAAAAACACTTCTTTTGCGTCTTGTCTAAGGTATTGTAACTCCTTCAAAATTATATTTAAAGAACATTTTTGTCTGAATTATTAATTTTTTTTTTATTATATTAAATTTTATTATTTTGATTATGATTGGTATATTTTATGCTTTGCATGTGCATTCCCGATATTTTCTTCATTTTTGGTCTTTTTTATTAAATCCAATTATTGAAATTCAAAAGTCAAAGGCGTAAAACTATCGTATAAAAAGGTTTAAAAAATATTGAGACAATACTGTAAATGACATACTTCATGTTTAACTTTAAATGGTCAATGGTCAATGACATACCATTTTCAACAAATAGGATATTGTAGTATAAAATTAATTCGAAATCTTCAGAATATAATCTTTTAAAGTAGTGGCTGTAATATTAGATTTATTGATTGTATACTGTTTAACGTCCCTCTTGAGAATTTTTCACTCGTATGGAGACGTGCTGTAACATTAGAAATAGCTTGGATTCCTTGATCGCTCATTAAAAATTAAAAATAACTTCTTTTAGAATTTGTCTCTAAAGTCTTTAAAATAACATATTGGTAAAATCTCAATTATTAAGATACAAAATACCATTAATGTATAATGATCTTTTAATGTTCCCAGCGATCACGGGCTGTGAGTACATGGCAACTGGTAGCCTGTTTTGCTGTATGTTCATGTTGAGTTCACGGCTTAATGACACCAGGAAATTACGACTGGGTTTTATCTATTTTTTTTAAAGAAAATGGTTCTATAAATATTTAATGTGCACATTTTATATATCAGCGGATTTCATCTTTTATTTGTAAATCCAAATTTCTAGTCGTAATTTAAAAAAAAAAAATAAATAAACAGAACTGATTTGGTAGTGTTTTCATAAATATCATGTAAGAAAAATTTAGGAGTAAACCATGAATAATTGTTTATTATTTCTTTTATAAATCAAGTACTTATTATTTCATCAAAAATATTTCAGTTTCCTTGTAATATACCTGAATGCCAATGTAAAGATCGATCTTTAATTTATGTAAAATGTATAGTCAAATGCCGCAACTCTTAATTAATGTACACACATATTCATAGTCTAGTCGGGTTTTGAAATGAAAGAATTTACAGTATGATGTATTTTGATAAGCTTTATGTAAAAAGAGAAAGAGAATAAAAATAGATTAAGACATTACATTTACCTACATCTTGTTTTTACTGTTTTCCCTCCTATAGTTAATGCTAACGTAAGCAGTATTAATAATGTATGATTAATTGTTAGTAGGGTTTGGGGCAAATTAACATACTAAATCAAAATCGAAAATAAATTATCCGCCTACGGAAATCAAACACAATATAATCAATATTATTATTTTAAATCAATGCATTTTCCTGCATTAAGAAATCGCATTTTTGTTTAATTTATTAAACTATACTCGTAAAAATTTTAAAATACAAGAGATACCTTGTAATGAATAACTAATGTATAAAAATAAGTATTTTATCAAACAGTCATTCATGATATCGGCATTTTGTTTTTAAACATTTGGATAAAATATAAATAAATGAATACGAAATGACAATTATTGATTAATTAATTACAACTTTCAGGGCATTGAATATTGCTATCGGTTTATATATACTTGTGTAGTAATATTTAATTTAAAAAGCTGCTTAATATGACTTTGTGAAAGATTTCCATCAAATAATAATAAAACCGCAATTATGTCCTAAATATTCCGATTACAAAATCCAAACCGAGGCCAAAACTTGCAAGAATCGTGTAGAAAGCGTTTGAGAAACGTGTACAAAGCGTTTCATGCAGGCTTTCGTGTAAACCGTGCAGCCTTTCTTGCAAAGCGTTTCGTGTAAACCGTGTAGCGTTACGTGCAAACCGTATAGCGTTCGTGTACTGTTCAGACGGTGAGCTTGCGGGGTAGTAGCACGTCTCAGGGTCTGTATATACCTGCAATGTCAGTCCTTTGATTCTTGTTCTTATCTTTCATCTTGCAGCTGTTTATCTATTTATTTATACCTGTAATGTCAGTCCTTTGATTCTTTTCCTTCTGTTTTATCTTACAGCCGTTTATCTCCCTATTTATATGTTCCTGCAATGTCAGTCCTTTGATTCTTTTCCTTCTGTTTCAGTTGTTCCTATTGACCGTAAGGATTTCCGTGATACTGGTCACACTAATACAGGTGTGTAAAATCTACCCCTTTGGGACAACCTCGCGTCCTCTCCGGGTTTATTGCGACATGGATACTTCGGCGGGAGGATGGACGGTATGTAATTTCTTTAATACAATTTTTACTTTGTTACCCTAAAAAACAAATGGTTTAGTTAACCGTAGTATATTAAAATTGACTAAAAGTTATATTTGACAGTTTGAAAACTTTGATTCACTAAAGGGATCACTTTGACATTTTGAAAAAAAAACTTTGGCCTAAACTTTGACATTTTCAAAAAAATTGGCGAAAACTATGTCACTTTGATAAACTTTGGTAAAAATTTTGCCACTTTAAGATATATTATGAAAAATTTTATGCTTTGAACAACTGTATTAAAAGATTTAAAGCTTCGAAAAATTTGATCGAAAACTACGTCACTTTGAAAAATTATATAAATAATTTTGACACTTTGAAAGATGTTAAAAACTTTTAAACTTTCGAAATATATATCGAAAACTTTGACACTTTGAACAATTTTATCAAAATATTTAACACCTTGAAAAACTTAATAGAAATCTGACACTTTGAGAAAAACTTTGACACTTTGAGAGACAAAGAGAAAACTTTGACACTTTAAAAACTTTATCGAAAACTTTGAAAAACTTTGGCAAAAACTTTGACACCTTGAAAAAACTTTGGCGAAAACTTTGATTTACTTTATTTAACTATACTTAACTGTATTAGTTAGCTATAGTTAACTATAGTGAGCTATAGTCATTTTTATTAGGATAACTGGGATAATTGATTTCAATAATTGAATTTGTTAACCGCTGCAATTTTTGTTTTATTTTTAAAGGGAAGGCGTGATGCTTGATTAATCATGTTAATAATTATATGTGTTTATCTTTGTCATATAGATCAAGCAAATAATAGTGAAACAGGTTAATTATATGTTTTTATCTTTGTAAAATAGATCATGGAAATAATACACAGGTTTATCATGTGTGTTTATCTTTTCAAGACAATTCAAAAACGAAAAGATGGTTCCCTGACCTTTGATAAGAGTTGGGATGACTATAAAAATGGTTTTGGTGCGCCTGAACAGAATGTCTGGATAGGTGAATATAATTCATTGAACCTCTTCATATTGTAGATTTTAAGACGAAATTTAATTCATTTCAATCCTAGTGTTAGAATTATTAGAATTAAAGAAAAAGATATTGATTTAGTAATACGCATTTTCCACAAATAAGAATTCAATTTAATACCAAAGTCACTAAAAGATAAGTTCTGTATTAAAAAACGTTAGAGTACGTCAGGTTTCAGGCTACTAATTGATTTTTCTTTTTAATATATTTATTTACAATATGGAAAAATAATTATACCATTGTATTTAATAACACTTATCAAGGAATTTCATATGTACCTAAATAAGGAAATGACGTCATCCACCAGTTGACAAAGGGACACAACTCTTTTCTCTACATCTCCATCATGTTATTGAATGGTACAACACTGTATGAGCTGTATGATTATTTCTCTGTTTCTGATGAAGCAGACAAGTATCAGCTGTTTCTGTCTGGACCTGCCACGGGAACTTTAGGTAAGTGAAAAGTGGAATACAATGTATGAACCTTAAACGAACACTAGTGAATTTGTCAACAAAATATTAGCTTATTAATATTTTTTTCATTTGCTGATATGTAATAATAGAGCGAAGTTAGTCAAATATGAAACAGATTTGTCGGTCTTTGTGGTGTCTTTTTTCACAAGCTCAATGCGATATATCGCATCGACATAAGAATGACTATTCAGTTTGTTAATTGACAATACGTTGTTGATATATTATATAAATGTCGAATGAGTAAGTTCTGCAGAAGAAAGTCAAGTCAGAATATTCAGACAGAATTTTTCCCAGATCGTGTAAATTAACGATTGAATAGAGATTTATGTTCGTTGTAAGCAAAAGACGAGAAGTAGATATAGAAACAAATCATGATTGGATCCAGATACGGTCAGACTTATAGGATTTTAGAAATGTACAACATTTGACATTTTTACCAGTGTGGACTAATAAGGCTTCGACATTACTCGGTCTGTTGGAGGTAGCAGGAATACGAACCTTTCTGATCCTCCTATTCTAGTAAGGCTTACCTCGGTGTTTTATTGACCTTAATTACTGGATGTCTTCCCGTTTAGCTAAAGTTCTGAAATTGTTATAGGTGACTGATTTGGCTAGTTTACTGATCAACTTCTCGTTGATTGATTGTATATTAGTAATTGTCCCTCTCGAGAATTTTACACTCAGATGGAGACGCCACCACTTGCCGGTGGAAAGCTGCTTATTTTGTCCTATACTCGGCTCTCAGTTCCATTGAATAGGGAGGGATCTTTTTCGTGCCAGCATGTACTGCGACATGGGACCTCGGTTTATACAGTCTTATCCGAGGGACCGGTCTCCACGTCCCACAGTGGGATTCGAACCTGTGATTCGAACTGCAACTCCTTCCTTTGCGAATCTAGAGCAGACGCTCTAGCCACTGCGCCACGCGGGCGACCCTTTTCGTTGATGTAACATGAATTTAGCTTCATTACTCAGTGAGTATGTACTTATTTATATGAATATATGAAAAAGATTTATGGTACAGGCGACGAGTTTTCCGCATCGCTCGGTTAAAAATGCTTTGTGTTACATAGTGTACACGGTGTAGCACGGTGTGTGTGGATTTGAAATATACAGGTAGGCACACCGTGGCTCACCGTGTCTAGAAAAATCTCATCTAATGTCCTCCGTGTCGCACCGTGTCCAGTTACTTTCCTTCCTTATCGCTCTGATTGTCCAGAAAATTCTCTTTCAAGCTGCACCGTGTAAATTGTATTACAGACAAAATCAGTTTTTTCCTGATAAAAATTTAATCATAAATTTTGATGACAATTTATAACTTAAGTTTATGTATATATAATAGTCGTTTTTATTCTACATATTGGACTCAGAATATCATGCATGATGTTAAGATTAGATATCGGTAAAAAAAAATGAATGATTGTCATTTGAATTACAGTCCCTACTTTCCAGCCTGAATATTGAACGAACGGTGAACGAACGCAGAGCGAAGGGTGGGTGAACGATGCGCGAACGCTGAACGCAACTTGGTGAACGATGTGTGAACGGTGAACGTTGCGTGAACGCAGAATGCCAACGGAACACGAACGCGAGCGCAAAGTGAACGATGAACGAACGGTGAACACAAGATGAACGATTTATTCGGAATGCCTCCGATCTTATCCTTTTTATTGAGATTATTCTGTTATTCTATAATTCTAATTTCATGTGCTTAGATATAAATTAGCTATAAGTAAATAAATGTTAGTGCCCCTGCAACCATACTTATGAGTAATAGAAAGGTTTTCTTATGCATTATGAATTCTGTACCTCCGTGCACAATACAAATTTAAATGTCCAAGTAAATCGTCAACTATAGAAGTCAGCGCTTCTCGTAAAAGTCAATTAGTGTGTAATATTTTTTATTATTCCTTTTCTTCAATTTTACAGGGGGCAGAATGTTAAACACGGGGGATTCTTACTCAGATCTGTCTGGGGTGTCATTCTCCACCCTGGACAGAGACCACGACAGATGGTATGGTGGTAGCTGTGCTGTTAGTTATTGTGGAGGAGGAGGCTGGTGGTATAACAATTGTCAGTACGCCAACCTTAACGGTCCCTGGTCTCCAGCATACTGGGTCTATCCGTGGTATCCGACACTTGATAATGGTAGAGATATAAAGAAAACTGTCATGATGATCAGACGACATTAGGTTTATTACACATTTTTAATAGTGTTTCAACAAACATGTTCCGAATTTTGATGTCTTTATTTTTTCAGAATAATAAAATGTTTATTAAATTATGACTTTCTTTTATCGGACATTTTCCTGTTATATAATTGTGATATAGAGAATATAAAATTATGTCTTCATATTTTTTTCCATTGACGATTTGATTACATCTTCAAAAATCAGGTTCTCAGGTTTGTATCCTCCAAAAATGGATCTTTGGATGTTTTTTAACTAAACAATTCAAATAGAAAATCTCCAAAAGGACCAAAATCACCTATAGTGAACGCATAACATTTTGAAAGAAGGGCATTTTTCTTAAACAAAATTAGGATGCTGATAAAAAAAAAAACATAGTAGCATTTTTGACAAGAAAAGAAACGTTAAATTGAAATGTTCTACTGATGTTCAGATGATAAAATACCTGTATGAAATAATTGATTCAGCATTACTCGTATTACCTCAATTTTATTTCCCTGTAGTCATATACGCATCGATTCTACCCTGTCTACACTCTGCAGCTTAATGGGGCTTAATCATCATAATTGTCGCCTTCTCATGTGTTCCAGTATTTAAAGGTGTTGCCAATTAACATTATGATAGATAAAACAAGACGTCAATTACAGTAAAACTCGGTAATAACAAAATCACTAGGATCTCTTATATTACTTACCAGGTAACTATATCCGTAATTGGTTATATCCGTAAAAGAATTTATTTAGCTGGGGATCAAAGATACCTTTGCTATATCCGTGAATTCGCTATATCCGTGTCCGTACTAAGCTAGTTTTGCTGTGTATCTTTATTCATTTTTCTCTACTTTGTCTACTTCTACAAGTATATTTCTGATAGTTATCCATAGTAAAAATAAGAGAGAAAGAGAGAGAGAATTTTACTGTCCACCCTCCAAATTCAGTCACCATATCACAGTGTAGTCTGACCTGACTCTCACCACTGAAGGGAAATATTTTATAAACACCTGACTGTTTATGACCCATTGTATATATTTTGTGCAATAAAATATGTTCAAACCGTGTCCGTTTGCATAAAGGTCCTTCCAGTCTTTATTCATCTTGACACCTTTTTGAAAAACAAATGAATAATAAAATAACAATCTGAAGACAAATATAATTGTTTACGACAGATAGAAGAACAGGCTTCGGGATCATGAAACAGACTTAGACTTAAGTCAAAATTTCAATTATCTATAAAATATTTAAAACTTGCTAAAGGAAACTCATAATTTGCATACAACAACAGATTAATGATACAAAATCGGAATGCATTTCATTTTGGGCTGCTTGACCTCTAAAAAATTTAGCATCTAAGTTATTTTTATACTTAAGCTTAAGATGCTTCATGATCCCGGGGCCAGGTTTCATAGATACCAATACCCATGTGAAAGCTGTCAAATTAATTTTTCAAAATGAGCATAATAGGGTGCTAATGTTTCGTTAGCGATGAAACATGATTACATTTGCGAAAATTTCCCTTGTATGATAAAATTTCTGTATTGCATGTTTTACATCATATGAATACATCTTTAACAAATCACAATAAATTCAAAATAACTTAATTAAAAAAAATCACGATTATTTGACATTGACGACATAACTAGTCTTAAATATAGTACGAAGTTGGGCATTGAAACAGTAATTTTTACATGTTTCGTTGTTGTTTGCCTTTCGGATCTTGAATGCAATCAATCATTTGTATCTTCGTATCTAATATACTTACTTATTTAGATGAGATTTGCCAATAAATTCCTGATTTCTTTATAACCTAGCCATAGTTCACCCACTTCTTGTTGAAGTTTACTTGCAGACGTTAGGTTGGTCACCAGCTCTCTGAGTTCAAAATTTTTCCTCCTTAGATCATGTGCTTCATGCTGAACCTTACTAAATAAAGTGAGGTTGATCTTGATGTCATTGCTAACATCCTTATCTAGCCTCAGTTGATGTACTTCAAGATGAACATTTTTCAGTTCGCCCACAAGTGTTGAAGTGGTTTCATTATTCTTTATATTGCTATTGTACTCATTCTTTTCATTCAAACAAATATACTGGGATCTGGTACATATGAAAACATGCATGAAAAAAGCTGCCAACAGCATTGCTATGATAAAATTTGCTTGCTGTCTTAAAGCTGATCACTTCTCATAAATAGACATTGTCAGACGGGTATATAAACCGTTCAATTTCGTTACACCCGATTGCGAACTCGAAACTCGTGGGTGACATGAATTACCCCTTTCGAAGTTTTATTTGCGTTTTACCCCTGTTTTTTAGTGCATTTTCTGTTTGTTATTAATGTTTTGACTTGAATTTTTCATAATATTTTTGTCCAACTTTGGAAAAATACATAAAATTTGATGATTTTATCGAGATTAAGTAGTACGCGGTGTGAAGTGTACGTCTACACTCGTCAGATCTCTACATTAAAAACGGGTTGTAGGGAGAGCGTTGAAGAACGGGGGAATATGGCGGACATTGTCAATTTACGAGTTGTGTTCAGCTTTAAAAAAAGTCCATTGACTATATACAAACGTATAAATACCTTCTGAACATGAAGTATAAAGTCCAACTCCTAATAACTGGGCCGTCCGAGAGCAATGTAAATAAAACACATGTATCATTAACTATGTAAGTAGTAGCACGCAATGAACCTTATCAATAGTTGGAAAATATATTTTTTAACTAGATAATAAAATGATTTACTTGGATATCCTCTTGGCCTAAGTAACACATCATTTATTGCATGGTTCATCCAAAACAAGTTTGATTCAACCTTGATACAAAAGTGTCTCAGGGGAAAATATATACCGCTCACATATTCAGAAAATATCAAAATAAACGCATGAAATTGAATTTGGTTATCAAAACGCATAATTGATTGTGACGTTAGATGAGCATATGTCTCCTACCTTTTTTTTATTTTATTTGTACTCGAATTTGATGAAAGATTATCACAAAATTCCAATTTTTGAACCTCTGTTCAAATGAAACACAGCAGTTATTCATACTAATACTTAAATTAAACTTTTTTTCAAAGTATCTCTTACAGTCTTGGAGGTTAACGATAAAATTGTTCTACCCGAAGCTATATATTATTTTGTTGGGGATTATCTTTTTCTACTTTTGTAAATTTGTAATATACGTTATCATACTAGAACATTTACTGAGTATTTAAAAATCGATATGAAAATTTTCTGAGAAAACCTCTGTGAGAAACGATTAACAAAAAAATGAATCACAATTCTACGTGTTCTACATACAATAAACATCATTTTTATAGTACATGTAAACAAAAATGTGTCAAAATGTTAAGGAGTATCAAAAACTATTTTTAACATTTGAAAGATATTCGGAAAAGGCCTCAACTCAGGTTTCAAAATTCGGATCAAGATTTTATTAGGTAATCGTACGTAATATAATATCTTATCAAACTACAAACACTTAAAAAAATCAATCAGGTCAAGATTCAATCCGGTGAGGATGGCTTGAATTCTGAGAACACATTTTATAAAATTCCATTGTACAGATTTTAAAAAAAACAATTTCCTTCACAGAACATCAGGGTTCAAATACATTGTCTATAAATATTTTTATTATTTTTACCAGAAACCGCTTACGGCTAAGCATAAGTAAAACATCATAAAATAATTTATGTATATGTTATGAAATAAAAATAAAAAAAATTTTTGCCGATGCGCATCCAAGAAATGATGTTTTTAACAAATAAAACAAAGAAATAAAAACATTTTTAAAATTTTATTTCTAATTGCGACAATTTGGCCTCCTTTAAATAAACGTCAGTGTCTTTCTTTAACAAATTAATTGATTGTTTTATGTATAAAATATTGAAACCTTTTCAGGAACCTCGTATATGATATTCATTTCTTTTTTCGAGAAATAAGATGCAATGCAAGTTCTTATAATCAAATGCAGAACGAATTTGAAGTATTTATCTGACTGATCTGACATTGTATTCATTGAATAGGAGAATACTTTTTGTGGCATTATCTGTTTTTATTTTCATTTAATACATCAATGTGTTGCTTTTTAAATTCTGTCAATATTCTAAACACTAACATGTTTCCTTGTGGTACATCCATCATTTCATTCAAAATTTCGGCCGGACAAAAAAAAATCTTGTATGTTTATTATATATGAATGCACGGCTCGTTTTTGAATATTTTCTGACTCCTTTGACATTTTCAAAGTTTGCTATAGATGTTGTCGGGAATTTTCCTATAAATCCTCATTTCATCTTACTATGAGAAATATTACTTTAAATAATTTTAAAATTTCAATTAATTAAGAAAAGCTGAATAAACTACAGCTATGAAAAAAGTCCGATGAGATTATTTGAAAGTTGAATCAGTAAAAGAAAACTTCGTCTACAACTTTATGGAACAACTGTGGTAATAAATAAGGTAAGGATCAATAAATATTGACTGATTTGCAATACATAAAATCCTACTTTACAGTGATAAATCATTCTTTATATATTTGTTGATTGAAACTAACATTGCTCAAGTGTTCTTATCAACATGATTTTATCTTCCTGATTCCATGTCTGAGGTGTGATGTGTCTATACGATTATGTTTAAATTTATCTTCCTGATTCCATGTCTCAGTTGTGATGTGTTTATAAGATTATATATAAATTTATCTTCCTGATTCCATGTCTCAGGTGTGATGTGTTTGTAAGATTATATAGATTATATAGACCATATAAACCCCGAGTCACAGCAGGTGTGGCACAATAAAAATGCCGAGCATAGGCCTAAATTTGCAGCCCTTCACCGGCAATGGTTACGTCTCCATATCAGTGAAATATTCTGGAGAGGGACGTTAAACAGTAAAAAATCAATCAATCTTTCATCGAGTAACCAGTTCAGTCATCTTTAAACTTTTATACTATGTAAAACCTGTGATCAATGTCAATGCATTTGAGTAAGAATTTTGTTGCGTACAAAC